ACTTAATAGCCTTTTATAAAGCGTTAATTAATAATAATAAAGGTTTTAAGTTACACTTATATAAGTATTATATAAAGTAAAATATAATACTTTAATATTTAATAAATAATAATAATTATTATAATTTAATATAAAAAAAGTAAATTATATAAGTTTTATTTAAGTATTTAAAAATACTTAATATTTTTAATAAATAATTATAAGTATTTTATTTTCTCTTATAAATTTATTTAAGTTTTTTTTTCTTACTTATACTTACTTAAAGCTTATAAGTAAGTAACTTATACAGGTACCCGTAAACCTTTTACACCCTAGTGTATATTAACATTAAGTAGTGCGCATATTAGAGCAAACCCTTTTACGGGTAAAATATCCAGTCTCCGCCTTCCCTTTTCCATACAGATACCGCATCGTGCATTAAGGCGCCAGGTCATATCCTCGTGCCTTCCCAAAGATTAGTGCGGGCTTATCAGCGCCAGAACTTTCCGCGCACAATAACACGCGGCAAAATTTAGCAAAAATATGAGGACAAAGCCTGCAGGCTTGTTGGCGCTCGTCATATTGGTCAACTGGGCTCAAATTCATCCAATGCCGAATGCGAAAGCTTGAAATGCGCCATCTCTAAAAGGCCCAGGTCCTTAGCCCTCTTGGCAAGCATAATGTGCTCGAATAGACGTTCCGCAACTTCGTCATTATTTGTAGTTTGATACGATCGAATAAGTATGTAACCTGGATCCTCACCACGGTGATCGACTTCAAACTCTGACGGACTCGCAGTCCCACATTGCACGGAGGATGGCAAATGACTATTGCCATCAGGCTCTTGCTCTACGCGAGGGTCCGGGGTCGGCGTTGACGGGGGTTCCACGCTTTCTTGTGAATTATCAGGGACTTCCAATATATTTGTTCTGGCACGCTTCCTACGAGCCAAGGGTGACGATGAAGGTCGATGGGGAGTTCGCGGCGTTTCCAGCTTGGTTTGAGAGTGTCTGACAGGCGTCACTGGTAGTTTTTCCATCAAGTCTTGGTTGCTCACATCTGGAATATCGCTGTCCCCTTCATGAAAGCTGACCCAATCATTTCTTTTGCGAACAACCGGTGACGAAAATACAGCCTCTTGGGTAGCATCTGACCGCAGAGCGTCAAACCCAGACATATTTTTCGAGCGGAGAGTCATGCTGTTCATCTGGGAGCCAGAGCTGGGTAATTTTACCAAGTGAAAAATTACCAATTCGATGTTGGTGAGCAGGAATCCTAGAGAAATTCTGAGGTCAAGGCAGCACTGTACTGGTTGCGCCAGCCACGACTCGTAACAGCTTAGAGTCCCAGGAAGGACAGATTCCTCATCCGTGAATTCAACATCCTTTTGCTTGAACTCCCCAATTGTCACAATGCTCCCACCAAGGTTTTGGAGATTTGGGGGGTGAAAATCTTTGTCGAGCATATCCGTGTCGAGTACCACAAGGTCTGGCCCAACGAGCCTTTCCGTATCTCCCTCGATCCTATTGTCGTATGTCCCGTAGCTTGGAAAGTATCTGGGCGTGCCAACGATGTGCAAGCCGGGGGACACCGTCTCAAGCCCTATATTCACGCGATGAATCATGGTTTTCTTATAGTAATCCGCTATGCTGAGCTCACTAGCAGCGTAACGATCCCACGGGTGGAGACGAGGCAGCCAGTCTGCTGGAAGTCCTGTCGGTAGGCTCAGAAGTTTCTGTATATAAGCAGGTTTCTCTGCAAAGCTCCACCAGTGTCGTAATCCTCTGTGTCCGAGGTCACTTCGTAATGTTCCATACCTGCAGTCATGCTGGTCCCTTGGGATGCCCTTGGGATAAATGAAGTCCAGCTCGCCCTTCGGGGTTGATAGGACTCTCCGAATGTCCATGATGGCACATCATCATGTACAAAGAGCGGGATGCCTGGAAAGCAGTGTCATATTGCACTGGCAGCCTAGGCATTGCTGATGCTAACGCTGGCTGTCACATCGCGGGGCAGGTGGGGTCGTGCACGATAACGAAATCGTCGCACGCGCATGTCCGTCATACAGTGCGATATACAGTGCAAAAGAAGTGCACACTATGGAAACAAAACAAACAAATCCAAGCGCGAGTTAAACGGACGACTCTAATGCATCCACGATACATCGCTACCTACCTCTTAAACAGCAAAATTTCCTCCACATAGGAGCTTAGAGAGGTTATCGGGGGACGGCAAAAAGATGGCACCCTCGGCTCCTCAGCAATTGCATGCACATCGCATCTTATATCCAGCTAAGGGGCGACTACCGCTTACGCCACGGACGACAAACAACAGTCGCGGCTCTTACCCTAACGGAGTCTGCAAGCCCAAGCCAAGAAACCGAACGGATCCTCCGACGATACAAGGGCCTTCCCCAATAACGAAACCAGTTGACTTGGGACAAGAGCAGATTGAGTCCGCAACAGCTATTTTCAGAAAACTGCAGGAAATTCCGGACGTTTCAAAACGAACGCCAACCCTACGCAAACTCCGCGACGAAGTTGATTGTGGTCAGTACGAGCTTGTATATCCCAAATATAGACTCTGGAGGCTTTCCAGCGACCATTTTCAGACCAAGTGGACCCAAAAAAGGCTGAATCACCTCCGAGATAACCTCATTCGTACTGTCTCCACGCTGTACGATGCACATGTAGCTTTTATTTTGGACCTGGCGACTTTCTCTGTGGTTAAGAAGCTGTCGCAACGGAGAGGCGGAGCGGTCTTCGTCCCCTTTCTCGATACGTTCGATTTCGACAAACACCCCAATGACCGAACGATGTCGTGGGAGCATCTTAAGCAGAAACAGGTATCAATTGTGAACGCACATTTTGATGTGCTCGAGGTAACAAACTCCACATCTTTCATTTCCTATTGACGGTACTTTGGTATCGCTTTTGCTTTTGGGTTAGATTGCTCACTTATTCCATGCTTCAGCTAATAGCAGAGCTGTCTGAGCCTTCGACGTTTTCGCAGCCTCCCCAAATCCGAGTTGACCTACAGCCTGACGTTGTGGTTGAGGTGGTTGAGCAGAGCTGTCTGCACGACGACCAAAGGAACTGGGTGATTGGCAGCGTTAGTAAATATTCTCCAAAGCTTGGCCGGCTGGTCGTCCAGCATGCCAGCGGGCGCGCGAGAACACTTCTGCCCCGTGCAGACTTGGCGGAAGTGTCTACCAACAAATCGATTCATAGCCATTGTTCAACAATTAGCCATGTACTTGACTTGCTAGATCGGTACATACGGGATGGGCAGGCTGAGGCCTGTGATATGGTCGATAGAGCAGCCTTGTTGGTCGTGCAGGCCGTATTAACGATCCATCTCCACGCTAGGGCCATTCAAGTCGTCCATTCTCGAGGAATTCTAGATATGAACTGTTGTGGCACAGTGGAGGCGTATACAAGTTACGAAAGCTTCCAAGCCGTGGCAAAGGTCTGTTCTCTTGCAAAGGCAGCGATACAAGTTGCTCCAAGCGATCAGCTTGATGCTGAGATCGCTTGTTTCCTCCGCGGAAATAGTCCAGATGGCTGATGTACGTGGACTATTTGGCTTGCCCACTCAGCTGCAATGGAAATACAAATACGATGGTGTAAGAATCATTGACGCTTGTGCTTGTGAACCTGCTTCGTTGTTATAGTGCTACTCGCTGGTCCAAAGACAGATATGCATCAGCTACAGGCGGTTACTCTTGTCACCCGCACCATGTGTGGTAGAATCCCCTTTCCCTCCAGGGGTTTATCCCCACGGGTTTACTGCGCTTGAACGATCCACAAGACTTGCCTTGGTAAGCAACGACCTGCGAGACGCCTCATCAATCCCTGATGATTTAGAACAGACTTTGACACGCCCGAGCTTAACCACCAATAAGGGAGAAGTCACTGTTGGGGGATGGGGGCAAAACCCGGTGATCACGATTGAGGGCTGTGTTGATCCAAGGCTTTTTTTGGAGACTTACGCAGCTAAGTAGAACTCGTAGCGTGATGTCACCACCAACACACCTGTCGATATGATGAGTGGTTCAAGACGCGGACTAGAGGAATCGTAAGCTAGGGGGCGTTTAGGATGTTTCTTCCATACGTTTAGCTATAGAATCTACATCTGCCTTCGAGTGGCCATAATTCATAATCTTGTAACATGCTCAGCCCTTTGGACAAGGACGACCATGCAGCGAAATGTGAAATAAACCAAAAATGAATCTATCCAGTTAGTGCACACGATGTAAATAGTTGTCGAGTAAGTATGCCTCTATTTATAGAACAAGTAGACGGGCCACTCGTCGCCTTGCCTCAGCCCAGGCGGCTTCTTCGTTAAGGAACGTCGAGATAAGGGACGAGACGTATCGACTCTGCCAGTTCATATGGTTCCATGGCTTCACAATATGCTTTAGGATTCGTAGAGACCAGCCATATCTGGCACTAAAGTCAATTGCAGCACGACCACGGCACTGAGGGTGCGGGTAAGAGCAACAACTGGAGCAAAAACCGACGAGTGGGGGTAGAAATTCGCGGTCAAGGTACAAAGAACATTATCTCACATAGCATAACGCTTCATGTGATGCACTAAATTACAATGAAATGACAGACTCAACTGTGTTTAATAAACCACTTAAATAGCTTTTTTAACATTTTTAGTTTCTCTTAGAATTTATATTGCTTGTAAGAGATGCAAAAATAAATTAAAAATACATAGTTGTGGCTCGTGCATAGAGCAGGTAGTCAGCTAATAGCACTAATAGAAAAAAGCGGGATATCCCTGTAGAACGTAGCTAATAAGATAACGTATAAGATGCGTAACATCCCCGCTAGTAAGTTTCAGCGTCGCAAGAATTATTAGTCCGGATTTTATCCCAACAATATAATGCCTGCGTTGCTGCATAATGGAATACCCGTTAACAACTAAGTGGGCCAGCCACTTAGTTAACTATAAAATTTCGGGATAGCTATAAAACTCTAGGACACTTTCTTAGTCTTTAAAATATTAATATTATTAATAATAAATAAAATAAAATATATTATAATATATAAATAAAATATATTATAT